TGTATGTTTGAATCGATTTAGTTGGTAGCTATTGCTGAATGTTGTTGTTGATGAATTGGTTTATATTGATTATGATTGCTGAATTGATTATGGGAGTTTACTTGATTTCGTAGTGAAAAAACACTAAACAGCTCACGGGGGTAAATTGGTCATTTTAACCAGCTCTGTCTTGTCATGTCCTGTCTTACCAAACGCTGAACAACTGTCCTGTCCTGTCCCGTCCTGTCCTGTCCAGTCCTGTCTGCGCACCAAACGCACCCTTAGGGTGCGTTTGGTACATGGGACGGGACAGGACAGGACGGGACAAAACCCACTGTCTTATGTTTGGCGCAGCATGGGACAGAACAAGAACTCACTGTCCCATGTTTGGCGCGACATAGGACAGAAACAAGAACTGGGACAACGTGGGACAACATAACACTACCGGCGGTCACCGACGGCCACCTCCACCTCCACCTCCTCTTCCACTACAACAACATCCTCTGCCGCCTCCACAACCACTGTTCACCAAGTCCATTGCCACCTCCACCACCACTACTACCATCAATTATATCAAATTTTTCATTCAAATTTGATACAAATATGAAAATTATGTACAAATATTTAGTCTTTAATTATTTACTTTATTTGTGTTAATTATAACTATTATATAATATTTAAATCATCAAATTACTTTTGGGGGTAACTTGTCTAGTTCTGTTCCGTCCAGTCCTAGTCGTACCAAACACCAGACATACTCCTGTTATGTTCAGTCCAGTCCTGTTCAGTCCTACCCTCTTGTCCTGTTCAGTCCTGTCCAATTATGTCTGCGTACCAAACGCTACCTTATGTAATTTTTACTTCATTTAAACCCTCGCTTAGCTAGATTTTAAAATGATGTACCAAAGTTTCAACCCGACCAATCCAACCCAACCCGCACTGTTTGGGTTTGGTTGGACTGTACTTTTATTGAGTTATTCAAATGCCTCAACCCGGCCAACTCAATTCGTATGCAGCCCTACATTAAGCACAACACTAGATTGCATTTATGGTGTAGTGTTTTGTTGTTTGAGGCATACATGGTTTGAAAAAAAACAAGAAGCTTAAACCAATCAGGCATCACCCATGTCCACAAGAAAATTTTTATTCTTCCTTGGATTTGAACCAGAGACCTCCAAATACTTTTAACATTTAGAGCCTAACTCAAACCAATCAGCCAATACCCTTGTGGTTTAATTTAATTTTCTTATCAATAAGATATTTTAAATATTTAATAAGTCAAAAATAGGCCTCGGATTTATATACCAATAACAATTAGACCTTGTTACTTTACACCCATCTCCCGAAATCTACGCTACAAATTTTTGTACAAAACAAATCTCCTACATGAACCATCTATTCTTGCATTGGTCTTTTACCATAAGGATCCGATACCGCGCTCCTAGAAGTCGATCCACGATGCCTATGATGACGATCAGAACTTGCACGAGCAGATAAACCCCGATTACTGGCGGCCATCGCGGTGGTAGTGGTGGAGCTGGTGGAGTAGTTGGAGTGGGACCTGGTTTGAGAATTCGACATTCCGTCTGTAGAAGATGTCATGATCCCGTGAGCCCTTCTCTGTCTCGAGCCCAGGTACCCTGGTCGAGTCGGTTCTTCGAGAGTGCCCGGCTTCCTGGTTAGCATCAGCGCAGCACGGCTCATCGTGGGTCGTAAATGGTGGTCAAATTGGGTGCATAACAATCCAAGCTTTATGCAAGTAGCAACTTGATCAGGGTCAGCTGAAGAGGCCAATATTGACTCCAAAATTTCAAGCCCTTTTCCCTTCTTGTACATCTTGTATGCCTGTAAGAAATACAGTTGATCTTGAATTCATTTCGAGTTTTGTGGATTTTTATTCTTGCGATCGGGATAAATGAAGGTCGATCCACAAATTGATAAAGTTCTTAGTTCTTACCCAATCCAAAAGATTTTGGCACTCGGGATCGAGGTTAAAAGTATAGTTTTTTTGACCGCTGATGAGCTCCAAAACCACCACACCAAAGCTATATACGTCTGCCTTGATAGATAGCTTACCGTGCATTACGTACTCGGGTGCCATGTATCCACTGTATCAAGATCGGAAAACGTGCATCAGGCACGATACAATTCATCATACGTTCATATACATAAGATATAGGCGATTAGCATTTTGAACCGTAAGAAATGGTCATGAATTGCGTAAATTTGACAACTGGATGGGACGGGACGAGACAAGACTGGGCAATCGAAAGAATCGTGCAAGGTTTTACGGTTTTAATTTGACATGGGTAGTTTAGTAATTTACCAATCTTGCCTCATCTACTGATATTTGTTCCAAATTCCAACTATTTTGGTGGGACCGCTTAGTCCTGTCCTATCCTGGTCTAATATCTCACCAAATGTAGGACAAGAAGTTTTTATTTTGTCCTATCCAGCAGGGTGGAACGTATACAAGATTCAAAGAATTCCTACATCATACATGTTCAATCCAAACAGGCATAAAACGCATATTTCTAAGAGTATGGAATTCATTTAAATGGTCGGTGCAATGGCTAACGATGATTAAATAGAACGAAAACTTACTTGGTACCCGCTACACGAGTGTTGATGTGAGTTTGATCTTCAGGGTAAAGCTTGGCCATGCCAAAATCGGCAATCTTAGGTACCCATTTTTCATCTAATAGAATGTTACTAGCTTTTATATCTCTATGAATGATACAATCGTGTGCGTCCTCATGAAGGTAAAGCAAGCCTCGTGCGACGCCGGTAATTATGTCGTATCTACGCTTCCAATCCAAAACATTACGATTCTCGGATTCTATGTCAACAAAATCACATTCGTCACCAATAAGTCGAACCATTAACCTTTCTAGGTTCTATTAACATGTAGAAGAAAACAAGAACATAGGAGTTTGAAGGTATGGGACTCAAAATCCGAGCTTTATATGGACCTTATTGAAAAAGCTCCATTTTGTAATACATAAGCTAGTTTTTCTGAAAATACTTCACATGGCTTATTGGGGCTTTTTTCACTTTCTTTTTCCAATTATGCCCTTTTATATTTTCTTTTGTAGATCAATTTTACATTGTTATCTAGCTTATCAGCTAGTTTTAACCAACACATGGCTTGTTTATCGGCTAATAGCTAGTTTATCAACCAACAACTAGTTTGCTAAACATAGCCTAAAAGGCGAACGTGGTGCACCATGGCTTCTCAACTTAATAAGGGTTGGAAATGAAGTAATTTTTTTGATTAACCTGGATATCCAACCCGCTATGCGAGCCGACTAATCTCAGGGAGACCACCTGCTTTGCAGATAGCCCGGAGTCACCGCATTTGAACCTCCGTGGCCACAAGGGGATTTCCCTTGCTTTTTAGCAAAAAGACTTTCTAAGTATAACATGAAAAGCTTAGCCTATAGTTGATCATGAAACTAATTCATAACAGCAAAAGGAAAAAAGAAAGCTTACTGAAAAGAAGCTTGTCTAAACTCTCATTAGGTACGTATTCGTATACCAAGAGCTTCTCCGGGGACACACAATACCCTAATAAGCTCACAACGTTACGGTGTTGTACACGTGCCAATAATCTTGCCTCGTTTACAAACTCCTTTTTCCCCTGATTTGAGGTGCGTGACAACTGCTTCACAGCAATCTCCTCCCCGTTCTCCAACTTCCCCTACAAACACCAAATTCACTTCGATAAACAGAGGTCTATCTCCATCAAAGTCCCAGGAAAAAGTCCCGATTTTGTACGATAATATCATGAAGTCATAACAAAACTTGGAGTTCTTTGTTTTCAACAAATCTTTTCTTGTTGATTACCGTTTTGAATCATCATACTTGCAAGAATGTAAAAAGAACACTCGAGTTAGCAGAAAATAGCGAAAAATAAACTTGCAATTGGAGCGTTATGTTCTTCGTTTTCACTTGTACATGATTCATTTAGCAACGGAATTTGGCTTACAATTGATTCAAAATGCTAATCACTCCTCTTGTTATCAACCAATTTGAACTTATCGGCGTCTAATTGATCTGCATTTCTAACATGATCACTTGCCTTTTGTTTCTAAACTACAATTTTACATAAAAAAAGGCCAAAAAAGCACTCAAGTTAGCACAAAACAGCCAAGAAACACAACATCTGGAACTTGTTTCTACAATTTGTCACAAATATGTTGACCATTTGGCAACAAAATGGCATTGCAACGCTTCATATGTGAATAGCTATTCTTCACAATGAATAGTTTTTGGAACACAAGTGTCAAAGGTTTTTGCACTCATATCTTGCATTAAATGCAAATTAATGACCACCAACTTTCCCCTAAATTCTAGTTCGATCTCTAATGTCTGCAAATCACCAATGAAAAACTTAATTGCATTCTTGATCCCAATCAAATGACAATAACGGATTACCCTAAACAGAACCTTTTGCAAAATTCCACTTTTTCGTATAATTTCACCAAAATTAGAAAACAGAACAAAGTTGGTGATTGCAATTCACCCTTTTCTGCAAAATCCCGTTTGCAAATTATGAATGGTGAAACAAAAGAAATCGAAGGAGGGTACAGAAAGAGATTGAGACCTTGAAAACAGGGCCAAAACCCCCTTGACCAAGCTTATTATCAGGATGGAAATTCCTGGTTGCAGAAACTAGGGTTTGAAAACTGAAAACCTTCTGATCTTGAGCAGTAATCGCTCCCAAATCTTCTTGCTGGGATTCTGTTCATCAATTCGAAAAACCCACAAAGAAAACGCAGAAAAATTGTGAAAAACAGAGCATCAAGATGAAGAACCCATGTGTAAAATGGAAAGATTGAAAAGGGGGAAATACCTTGATTCGAAGTGAAAGTGAAGGGTTTGATGATGCTGCGAAAGAAGTTCTTGGATTTGGTCATGCTGTTTGCTAAGTGGAGGAGTCCATGGATGAATATAAAACAAGAAAGAAAGAGAGAAAGAATGGTGTTTGAATGGTGAGATGGTTAGATCGTTTCAAAAAATATAGGTTTTTGTTAGGTGTGTTTGTGGTCAACAAGGCGCGTTGACCGGAATAGACACTGTAATATTATATCGGATTGCAATTAACTCCCATCTCTTTCCAACCAACCCACGACGACAGGATCAAGTGTTTTATATTTGGCAAACCAAATGTCTACACGATCGTATGCTAAACGTTCATCTAACGAGTGTTTATCGTTCGATTTGAACATGGTAAGGAGAGAGAATCTTATTCGGTAAGAACGATGATAACGATTGAAAGGGTTATTCGATAAGTGATGATGACGATTCTTACGCGATGCTGTTTTAATTAACTACAATCTTACCCAATAAAATAAATTATGATGTTGACGTTTATCGAGTATGGTTTTGATAAACAACTCCTAAGAAATTATCAACAATAGTCATAATTCTCAATTATTTATTAGGTGACGTTCTTGGCCATAAGAATGATTGTCAACAATAAAAAGTCTTTGGTCTAGCGGTATCGTAATGTTTAGTCTTCTAGAAGGTTTATGGTTTAAACCTCACCAAAGGTGAGGAGAGTGTGTGAGTTTATTTATTACATTTGTTGTATATAAATTTATTATATACTTCAAAAAAAAAATGATTGTCTGTAGCTTTCTTTTGTCTGGTAAGTATTTACTGGATAAAATAAACTTGCCAACAATGAATTTTAGTGGCAGAGTTTGTTACCCGATAAAGTAAATGAGAATGGTGCTTTTGTTGTTTAGATGCTTATCCGATTAGTGTTTGAGATTGAGTCTTTGAAATTATTATCATAAATTGAATTAAATAATTTACTATAAAATATAGAGGTATCCTATACTCGTTTCAAAAGATACTTCCTATATCCTAAAATAAATGTACAAAAATAAAATGACACACAATTTTAGGCATGCGTGGTTATTGTACTTTTTAATTTCTATACCCTTATTTAATTTATCTCTCTTCACAACCCTTAAATATTTGTATATTAATTAAGTATAAATTTGAGAATTTGGCCATTATTTTTAAAAGTGGACATTTATTTTAGGACAAATATAAATAAGATTGTGAACATTTATTTTGGAACGGAGAGAGTAATTTTTTTTTTGTGTTGAGGTAGTAATATTGAATTGAATTATCCGACAACAAAATATGGGGATTGCTATTTGTATTATAATATCATAATCAGATCGATTCATGTATTGAAAATGTAAAAAATAAGTTTTACTGTTGATGTCTATAATGAAAAAACCATTAAACAAATATATATATATATATATATATATATATATATATATATATATAACAATATAAAAAGGTAGAATTAGCCTAAACTTGAAATATCTATTTTTCCTTGCAATTCAAGGAACTTGTGACGGTTGTTTGAAAAATCTTCATTTGAAAAAAATATATTATTAAATAATTTTGAATAAAAGTAAACAATTTAAGAATTAATAGAAGCTCTCAACTAACTTCTATTTTTTTTTATTAATCTGGATATCCAACTCGTTATGCAAGTCGACTAATCCTATGACAACCATCCGTTTTACGTGTAGTCCGAAGTCACCGTATTTGAATCTCTGTAACCACAAGAGAATTTTTATTCCTCATTTGATTCGAACATGAGATCTTCAGATACTTCTGACTGAACCCAAACTCAAACTAATCGGACACCACCTTTATTGATTAGTTCTTTTATTTTCTTGAAATAGAGATTTCAAACTTAAAAGAAGTATTAGAATATTGGAATTGCGCCAGCTGTAGAGACATGTCAAACTTGTTATATATATATATATATATATATATGTATGTAGAGACATGTCAAACTTGTTTTATTTATAGGGGTATTCTAACGCCACCCCCTGCTACTTCTTTCACCCTATTCTTTCTATACCCCCACCTATATGAAATAATACAATAATTAAAATTTATTTATTTTATTTTTCAATTTTAACCCTTTAATATTTTTAATTTTAACCCTTCAACTTTTTAAATACTTTCCTATTATATC